CGGACAAGACTAAAAGAGCTATAAGTATAAGCTTAAACGCTATCCTTTTATACAACGAAACAAATCAATTCGAGAATTTGGCCAATTCTTACACAATCAACTGTAGCAACACCCTAACTTTGCAAGATACACTCCGGCATAAACATGTTTCAGCTATCCTTTTTCCTTGCTATGAAGGCAGGAGGATATCCTAGTATTTAAAACCTTTTTTAACATAGGGGAAACGCTATGCCGCTTCCATAAATACAATGTCGAGCTGCAACGACTTTTTCTTAAACCTCTATGTTGAAGTTGAAGCAGCCCTACTTTTTGATAATCCTACTCTAAAGTCGCAGCAATCTTACATTTGATTGTAGCAAATAACACTCGGAGTTGCAATTATTCTACTTTCTGCAACTCCACTTTTGAACTTGCAGTAATTTATTTTGGCTGCAAGCTTTACTTTCGGAGTTGCGCAACTCCACTTTTATTGTAGTACGCAAAGTCATTGCCACTATTTACTTTTAAGATGCAGCAACGCTGCTTTCCATCCAGCCTAACTTCTGAAGTACAGTTGTTGCGACAACTCTGGCTGCAGCAATTCTACTTGGAGTTTCAGAGCATTTCAATCTTCGAAATTGCCGCAAAATTTTGAAGTTAATATTAGTTATATTTGCGACGATGCAGCAACTGTATTATTCAAGTTGAATTAACTCTAACTTTGAATTTTCATAAAACATGCACGAAATCAAACCCTAAGAGGAGGAGAGGGAGCGGAGGGGAGGAAGTGAAAGAGGAGGCATTTCTGAGATAGAGGCAAAAGGCGACAGATATTGAGAGGCTTTCGCAACTTTTTGGCGCTTCCACTCTTCCACCATTTCTTTTTTTGACTAGCAGGTAGCTCGCAAAATTTGCTGGAAGTGTCTTTTCATAAAAGCTTTTTGGAAGCTAGTGCCACTCACAATGGCTACATTGCTTGAGTGCTATTTTGAAGCCGTAGTAATCCTTCTTTTGAAGTTCTCGAGACTGTAAATTCACGAATGGATTTGAAAATGCCTTTTTCCGAATGGCTGCATGGTCTCTACATAGGGTGCAGCGTTTTGTTTTATTGTCATAATCTTTTTTGTTCCGTTTCTTTTTGAAATGATTTATTTAGGATGAAGCATCTAAGAAGAATCCAAGCAACGCATCGAGCCCATGGGACAGACATAATGGTTTATAAATAAGTTGAACATATGAGCAAATTGATAATTTGAGACAGTCATTACTTCAGCCAATCTAAATGGAGCCAATACAGATTTAGATGACAGTGAAGCGATATTAGCCATGGAAGAGCAGTTAGCAAACTTACAAGAATCTGATCTTGCGTGGAATACGAAAGTAAATTTAAGAGTTGGTTTGTATTTGTTTTCCGAAACAAACTTTTCAGGAAGTTGATGGCAGTAACTGCGAAATGTATCAAGAGTCTGATCATGCCGCATGCAATCTTGAACGAGAGCTGATTGGTAAAAATTACGTTCCCAGTTAAGAAAATCAAATAAATTTATAACAACTGATAGTTACAGTAGTAGCTTGTGGAAACCATTTACAAATAATTTCATTTTTGCTCTATTTTTCCAACCATTTACAAATAATTTCATTTTTGCTCTATTTTTCCAAATTTAATTCAAGACTTTCGGAATCTAGCTTTGGAAAGTGATCGTTGGTGCAAACCAAATCATACATATTTTTACTGTTGAAGGAGAACTTTTGTGATGTTAGCAGCTGTGAGTTTGAATTTTCAAATGGTTAGAAAAATTCAAAAAGGTGTGGCGTGGACGGGACTACGTCACGCGCTTTTCGCCATTTGGATAAAATAACACGTCTTTATTATTCATGAAAATTCTAAATATGATTTTTGACTCTCAGTCAGTCTTTCATGTTATAAATTTTCAAACCCCACTTTCTATTTGGGAAGCGTTCCTGTAAACTTCGCCCCTTCTTCTCTCTCCCGCTCTGAGTCACTCCTCTTCTGTTGGCCGCTGATTAGCACTGCTACGAAATACATTTTAAACGCAGTAAGGTAAATTTTAACATAGCAAAATACCAGTTCAAGTTTTAGGAGAACCAGTGGAGTGTAAGAAATTCACAGAAAGTCTATTACGCGTGGAACCTTCATTTGCGGTAAATGAGCTGTTCACTGAGCAATTTCTTTTAGCTTAATACGGCTTTGTCAACTTAGAAAACACCAGAGAACGTATGCTTGTTTTTTGTTTTTGTACTTTTGCCTGTCTTGTTGAAATTTCCTGCACCGGTTTCTTTTGATTTTGCAACATATCAACGATACATTCTGGAAGCCACGCAGACTCATTAATCTAAAGCAGTCCTTTTGCTTTGTACCTAAATTTGAGCATGTTTTCTGGGTCGTTTAATGGACTAGAAATAATGTTTTATTG